CCTTCAACTTCCCGCCGTCGCCCGTCATCCGATCCACCACAGCGGCGACAAAAACTTGGACACTGTCGCGTCATCTGAGACGTCAGATGGTTCTTGTCCGGGGAGGGGGGACATGGCTGGCGCCATTAGCGTTTGTTTACACACACTGCCGCATGACAGCTGGCAAATTACAGTATGCAAATACCTGCATTTTTCTTTTTACGCCTGTATGCCGCAATTATCACCCGGTGGTCTTAATTTTTGTTTCGAAACTGTTCAGTTGAACGGACCGACGTTTTCCATCGTCGGCAGGTGTCACAATATGGGCAGCAGGCATACGGCTATGCGCTATAGTAATCAGTTAGCAGCATGTGTTCTTTTCCACCTTATTGCACTCGTGGCCGATGACATCATAATGGGGAAAATTGACTCGTGATAACTCACGGATGAATATGGTACACCGATGGTTATAAAGTTGTATTTTCCTGTCCTGTCCCGTCCAGAGGTGTGAGATTTCATTGTCCTTTGGTAAACAGTAATTATGACTCTCTGCAATGAGAGTTTCCTTCTAGAGATATTTGTTTTAAAGTGAATAGGAAAATCGTGGAGCCCGTTAGTTTGCGTTTGCCGGTTTATGGCCGACTTTCACGAACGTCGCTATTAAGGTAATTATGACCATAAAACAAGCAACTAACGATAAAACAACCCTATGCGTAGCGCGATAGCGCACTTTGGTAATTGCTCGCTTCCCACGATGGCGGACAGAATACAACAGTTATGGATAAATGAGTGCGACGTTATGATATTAATAAACAATAATTGTGAAGCATTCGATATTGTCGAGACTGCAAATGATTGGCCGATCAACGGGGACCAGCAACTTCAGGAGGTCGTGGTGCTGACGTCACACACACACACATCGCTGTTGATACTCATGTTATGCCGATCACTATGGCCGTCGTTTCGCGATTACGGTAAACAATCATCCTGATCTGTTGTGATGGAATGCAAGAAATGAACGAGGCCAGCTTTATTCACTAAATTCATACGAATTTCGGGCAAAGGTGTGTTAAACACCATAAGTAGGCGCCTGGTTCTCCTTTCACTATACGAGTTGATTTTCATAAATCTGTTTGCTCTACTGTATTGCTTTGGGTTACGAAGCTCTACAGACTAAAAAGCGCTTCATCCGAGATGTCCCTGCTTTCAGTTGCTTCTCGCTCACATCCAGACATCACAGTTACGACGGTTTTGGCATTCGATCAAGATTCCCCAAATAAGACTTGCACATTCGATCCTCTTGGCAAAGCTAGTGTCAGGACGGCCAAGGGAGCAACAGCGACCACGTGGTTGCACCAGATCGAGCATTGGAAACAGAATTGGCCAATGAGCCGAAACGTCAGAAATCTCGCAGAACCTCATGTGTCTGAGTCTCGAAAGGAATATGGACTTCAGAGACGAACGAAGGAGCGAACGAACGAAATGCGGAATGAATGGTTGTGCGAATAAACGAATGGACGAATCAATTAATAAATCAACGAGTAAACGAGAGAGGCAGTCAGTTACGGAATCAAGATCAAGGGCGGATGACTGAAACCATCGGAAACGCTTTCAGGAGCTGCTGCCATTGCAACCAAAAAGGAACAGCAACGTTTGGCACTGAGTAAACAGGTTGTTTGTGGCTAGATGCAGGAAGAGTCATTAACAAAGGGTAAAACAGTCTGATGTCATCCTCGTTCCGATGGAGGATGAGAGAAACTTTAACGTAATAAGTTTACATTAGATTTAACTGATCAAAATGACCTGCCGGTTATTTTGTTTTATTAGCCTCGTGTAGACCCACCATTTTTCTTGTCGACGAGTGTTTGCCCTCCAATAGCGGGATGGGCAGTGCGGATAAGAATCTTTCTCGTGGCGAAACAATAAAACCGATCAAT